GATTCTTATGCATATTAAAGTGTGGGAAATGCTGCACTAAAGAATCCGTCTGAATCAGTTGAGCATTAACTTTTACATTAAATAAACCAAGGAAATGTCTACTTAAATCTCCATTTTACTATTCATGCGTGTATGTGCATATGTGTGTAAGGAAGAAAAAGAGAAAGCCAGAGAAAAATTGGGGAGACATTTTTTTTGCTGTCATAGACTCCCCTAAGAAATATCTAATGAATATATTTTCTATTTAGACTATTATTTCTGCTGTACTTTTCTTTTTCATTTTGGGTAAACATATTAAACCACATAGGAAAACAAAGCTATCAGGATATTACTTGAACACACACACACACACACACACACACACACTTGAGGTATCTAAGAGCTGAATTCATTTGATGAATTTTTAAAAAGCTGGCTGCTTTTAAAGGCATTTATAATTCAAAGTGTTTGATTAACTTTTAAAGAGTTGAATGTTGGTAGACTTAAAATCAAAAGGAAAGGCTTGCAGTAGTCTGGTGGATTTTTAGAGTTGGATAGAAGTAGGGAAACCATGCTCTTATCCTTCTTAGCTTTGATATTTTTGTGGGATTTCTGTTCCAGTCACATAACAGGTCCTCTTTAATCTTCTGTTTATCACATGGCCAACGTGGGGCTAGCAATGTTTCCTACCTGCTCAACAGGTATTCTCAGAATTCCTGGGATAGTCCATCAAGTATTTTAACTTGCCAAGGACAAGCCCTATAAATATATAGTAGATAACAGTTTATAGATAGTAGTGTGTAAAGGTGATCGTATGTAGACATTAGGTACTTGAAGAAGTCACAATGGAATTTTAAGACACAGACCTCCTAAGGGAGGGAAAAGGATGAGAGGTTAAGGAGTGGAATGTATAAACCTTAATGGATACATTTACATATCCAACAATATAAAATAGTCATATCATAAGCAAATTCATAATCTATAATAGATAAGAGCAATGTGACTTCTGGTGGATAGGGTCAAAACTCCTCAAAACAATATGGCTATTTGGAATGTTGTGCTCAGATGTGAGCACCTCATTTTACAAAGAATATTTCCATCCTGGTATAAGTCAATTCTGCTTTACATTTGTTGATTCATTCATTCCTTATTTCTTGAACCAAGTGGTATGTTATTAAATCTGTGGTAAGTGCTAGAAATTGCATATGTGATTGTTGTACTTTCCATTAAAGACCTTATAGTTGAGTGTAGAGAAATACCGTATAAGCAAGTAAGTCCACTAATGTGTTGTAAGGGCTGAGATGCAAGAGGATAAAGGTGGAGAGGAGGCACAAAGATCAGTTCTTCCTGGGAAACTTAAGAAAAGGTGTTCATGGGTGTGAAACCATAGTACTTGAGACAAGTCTAAGGAATCGATGTGGTTACTTTATGAACAAATTGTTTGCGAGAGAGTGGAGGGTGTGGGAGATTATATACACTTCATAAATTTGGAGAGTTAATGATATATGAAGCATTACTTTTTTTCTTAATTCTGGCAGACAGAGCCCAAATCACAAGCATACAGGGAGAAGGGACATAAGAGATAAAGGATGGACACTCATGTTTTAGGAGTGTCCATACTGTGCTGGGCTTATACTGGGCACATTATAGGCACTATTTTAGTTCGTCCTCATTACAACTTTGCCAATGAATAACTTGTCTGAAGGGCCACTACTAGGTCAATACTCAGAGCCCGAGCTGATCACCCTAATCCTCTGTTTTAAGACAGATGAAAAGTTACTGCCTTGAAAAACACAGGTTAACTCTCAAAACATAGGTGGAGAATTAAGGTGTGTTTGACAAGGCAGTAACTTTAGATGATCTTAATAATCTTATATAATAAAAGGGTAATATGCAAATTGACCCTAATAGTAGAACCACCAGGAATGACTGGTCACTATGACACACACTGACCACCAGGGGGCAGATGCTCAATGCAGGAGCAGCCCCCTGGTGGTCAGTGCGCTCCCACAGGAGGCACTCCACTCAGCCACAAGCTGGGCTGACTGCTGCGAGCGCAGGGTCAGTGGCAGGAGCCTCTCCCACCTCCTTGGCAGCACTAAGGATGTCCCCAGGGAGCAGGCCTAAGCTGGCAGGTGGACATCCCCCGAGGGGTCCCAGACTGTGAGAGGGCACAGGCTGGGCTGAGGGACACCTCCCCCCCCCCCACCAGTGCATGAATTTTCGTGCACCAGGCCTCTAGTCTTAAATAACAGGATGAGCAGTAGTAGAGGACACTAATAATTGTACAAATATGACTATGTCTATAGGAACTGAAATGATAAGTTATATCTAGAAAAAAGCAAAATTTATTTTATTAGAATATGTATCATGATATATAATCGAGGTACTCATAATTATCACTTTATATCTACATTTGAAAATATGTTATATCCAATATCTGTTACAAAAATATAAAATATTTTAAAATACATCAAATACTACAAAATTTACATCTATTTAATGTTTTATCCTACTTTTAATTCCTTTAGCTTTTTATTCAATTCCATTTGACAGTTAAAAATGGTTCTACCAGCCAAGCTTGATATGCAAATTGATTTAAGCCAGATGTTACCATCTCCTATGTCACAAGAAATACTATTTTACTAGTTCACTAGTGTAAAGATGGAAAGATTACAGATATAAATATAAAAAGAAAACCAAAAAGTGATATTTCTTCTTGCACATTATTATGAGACAGTGGATTAGAAACCTAAGTAATTTGTAGAAAATTAGCATTTTGATGTACAAGAGAGTACTTTTATTTCTTGACATCAGTTACAAAAGAAAGAAGCAGCTTTTACCTTGGTTAGTACAAGCAGTCACATACAAATTTTCCCACCCATTCTAGAAACTCAGGTTAAACACATTACCTTACAAATTTCTGCTGTAAGTTCATGACTAGCTCTGTGTTACTGCGATGTTAAGCTCTGTTTTAGAGGTCTGGGAAATATTGTTGCAAATTCTTAAGGCTATTTGCCCTACCTTATCACATGACTGTTCATGTAAGTGACAATAATCTCAGGAGGAATGACATGATTATAATCAAGGTTAACTAATGTCAACACAAATAGCATGGAGCAGTTGGGTCATCTGATACCCTAAGGATTAGCCTACAGGAATTCAATTAATAAATTTTGAAAATGAAATTATTGCTTTTATCATTTATTTAGTTAGTAAATAAGGAAATCCAAATTTGCAAAGATTTATTTACCATATATTGGGAAGCTAAGTTTCAATGAAGAGTTCTCCTTAGAAGTTATTTAAATAGGACCCCCTCAGTGCATATGGAATAAAAATTTTATACTGGTCTTATTGGAAATATAGGAACTACATAAGGCATGCCGGTAATGCATTCCACTGGTCCAGTTTTGCTTCATCATAGGACTTTCTAAGCCAAAGTTTGGGCTCATTTTGGTTTCTTTCTACATGCTACCATTTGCTTCACGCTTTCCATCACTGGAAAGGGACCAGGCTCAGAGCACATCTGCCTCGGGCCGGCCTCGTGTGTGGGCTTTAACTTTGTACAAGAATGATTTCACATGAGTCCAGATGATTTTGAGAACGTGTTTATTGAAGGTGGCGATAGTGAAATAAAGGAGGGGATTATGATAGAAGAAATAACAGGAGAGAGTGGAGGTGGTGCTCTGCTTCGGCTCTCTAGAAACGTTATAGGAAAGAAGTGAGCCAGGCTGGGCTGCATGGACTCACTGAGAAGTAAATGTCACAGAGGCAGCAGTGAGCCAAGGTGGGGCTGCTGTTAGCTCCGTGAAAAGTCAGAGAAAAGGGGGCCTTGGAGACAGGTTCAATGGGTTAGCCTACGATGAGCTGCCACTGCCTGCTGCTCCCCTGGTTGCAAGTCTCACCGCAACCCTTAGAGCTTAAGAGAAAAGTAAGTAAAATACACTCAAAAAGGAGACACCAGTGGACTTGCTTCAAGGTGGATGCATATACTGTGTCCTTGGTCTTGAGGGCTTTTATCTGGAGGTCTCAGGGAAGGATCTCAACATTATATTTATCAGCTTTCCCAGGTGTGTCCTTTCAGGATCATGGTGTCTATTAAAATGAATTGACGTTTGCAATGTAGGGGCTCATTAGTCATCGCAGCTGGTCCTGATGTCGGCCATGGCATCACTTCATCTGGCTTTGCTGCTTCTCTGGGCCTGGATCTGAAAAACAACTGAGGCCTAGATGATAGCTCTCGGGCTGACTGCTTAAGGGAGTGGTCAGCGAGGACTTACATGGAGTTCCTGTGAGGCTATCTCTGGCCTCTATTTCTCCTCTAAGGGGGCTCTAAAACCACATGCCTAGCAATATGCCAGGGGAGGAAAGGTCAGGGGAGGGTCCGAACCACACCAGAGATATAAAAGCCAGGGGGTCTAAACCTCATGACCAGTAATACACTGGGGGAGGAAAGGTCACCCTGGAAGCAAAGTTTTTGTTTTCTCAGTTTTGCCATTTGCTAGGCACTCAAGGATTTCCACCGGTGACCTTCTGTACCTGGTGACCAGGCTGTAAATTGCTCAACCAGTTTGTTCAGCTGTCTCTTTCCCCATCCCATGTGCCAAGGAATTTTCCTAATTCTTACCATTCTGCCTCACTTCCAGAATTCATAAAAAAACTTCTACCTCAGCATGGTTTCTTCCTGTTTTCAACTCTATTGTGCATTTATTATTCACTTCCTGCATCTTTTTTTGTTGTTATTTCAAGGAGAATGGAATGGGGACCTGAGGGAAGATAAATATGTCTCAGCATTCCCTTTGAGCCCAAAGCTTCAATTGTTTAAAAAAGAAGAATATTTTAAGACTGAGTGTTGGCAATTGGATACTTTTAATTGTCAAAAAAAAAAATTAGTTGGTAAAACAGAAGATGCTGCTAATCATTGGGTTCTCACACCATGCGATTCTACCTTTAATTTTGGGAGGCCCTAATGGCCTCTAACAGAAAATGACCAAACGAATCTGTCCTCCTTGTTTTTATAGAGATTTGCCTGCTGACCAAGGGACGCCGCACTGCCAGTGTTCGAGCTGACACATACTGCCGTCTTTATTCACTTTCTGTGGACAACTTCAATGAGGTCCTGGAGGAATATCCGATGATGAGAAGAGCCTTTGAGACGGTTGCCATTGACCGACTAGACCGGATAGGTACTCTCTTTGGTTTTGTCTTCTTCATGTACAGTTCAGTTTGAATCTAGTGGGCTGATACGTATTTGCAGTCATCCGTCCCAGACGCTAGTTCACAGATTGATTGTTCAATTGCAAAGAAGTAGCAATTAGCTGTAGCCCTATTTCTAGAAAGATCCGAGGCTCTAACTTTCTCTTCTCAGTGTTCTAGGTTTACTTATTCATCTCTATTTTTACTAGCTACGCAATCTGATTTCCGCAGTGATGCCAATACAATTTGAATTTTCAGGTAAAAAGCAATGATAAAAATTCTACATAGCATTAAAATAGAATTAAAATTCCAATGTATGAGTCTACATTACAAACCAAAGTTACCAGAAGGATTTTTTTAAGGTTCCACTTTACATTGTATCCTTATATTAAGAAATGAGAACTTGTGTTAAATAACTGTCTCAGTAGAAACTTCTTGAAATATTTGTAATGCAGACTCAAGCAGAAAAAAAGCCTTGCTAGAAATGTCCTACATAGATGCTTTACTTTGCAAATATCAATTTAGTTTAGTCTGCTCTGCTCTCAAATAAAAATGTATAAATTAGCCTTATTAGTTACACTAGTTTAAAGAGTTGAATAGTGGCCATAGTCAAGTTACATTAGATTGGCTTGCAGTTAACTTCCCGAGATCTGCTGGGACACTGTGACATCAGAAGTATGCATTCATTTACACACCCAGATCCTCTTACCCATCCTGCCCTGCTCTGCCCCTTTTTCTCTGCTTAACTCTACTAATCTTCCTCTCTCAGTTTAGACACCCCACCCCCTGATAGGCTGGGTACTCAGATATGTTCTCCCATATCCCTGGGAAGTTCCTCCGTCACAGCACTGCTTTTAGTGCTGTAACTGCACTAGAGATGCTAAGCTTTGTAACTGCAGAGATCATGTCTAATTCACTATTACATTCACAGCACCCGGTGCACAGCAAATTTTATTGGCCAGAGGTAGGGAGGGTTGAAGGAATCAATGAACTCAAAGGAGATGGGGTTGGGATCACTTGAAAGTAAGCAAAGAGGTATTGCAACTGCTTCACTCTTACTAAAAGGTAAGGACTTGTGATTGATGTATGGATATGTGAGCTTTTCTGCTGCATTTCACCACTTTCCTTCCATCCATGTTAGGATAACAGACTGCATAGGATCTGAAATTAGGTCAGGAGAAAAAAGATAGTATTTGGATATTACCGTTAGACTTAACTCATACCTTAGAAACTCACAATGACAACTTAGAGATTTAACAGGGCATAGTGCCCATCAAACGAATACTCCTCAAAGCATCTTTACTTAATTTGAAAATAACTTCCCTCATTGTGGTGCATGAATGTTCATGCAGAACTAGAGGCTAATTTCTGAGCATATAAATTCTTTTCCTAAACCAGCTCCACATCTTTAGAGAAAGCATTAAAATTAGGTTATTTCAATAGGAAATATCTCTTTATCTGATACAGCTTCATTCTCCTCTAATTCATTGCAGTTTATGTTTATAAAAAAGGTTTGTATGAAATGGTTCGTAATTAATAGTATAGGCAATGAAATTGCTAGTAAGCATCAAACATTTGCATTTTTAATTCTTATAAAATGCTAACAGAACAATAAAAGTTATAGTATTTTTCCACAAGGTCACAGATATTAGATTATGAAATGTTGACTGTTCACATGATCGCAAAGAAATGCAATCCTTCTCAATTGTCATCATATTATAATGTATATTATAATTAGTTAAGGGAATATGCTAAATTAGTATTTACATTTATTCCTAACCTAGGGGTGTTTGCTCTTTGGGAAGGTAGGTCAATTCTGAAAGGAGAGATAGACAGCTATCCATTCTGTCAGTCATTTAAAATGATTGCAACCTGAAACTAATAGGATGGGTGTGTCAATTGTACATCAATAAGATCAAAAATAAAATAAAAATGATTGTTTTTCTCAGCATGAGTAAATTTTAGCATATATTTTCATTCAAAAATATTTCTTGTTCCTTTAGATGTCACACTTTATTAAGTGATTTGGCAAATTGATTCACTTTTTAGTTACCACGTTCACCTGGGTATGAATGATGTCATCGAAAGTCACTGACTTCCCATCTTTCATCAGCCTACTCCTCGTGCTGGTAGTTATTCTGCCACAGAATGTCTGCTATCTGCAGAGCCCTGGAGAGACATTGGCAGGAAGGAGGGGTGATGGTTATGGTGACTGAGTTCTGGAGTGAGCTGAGAGCCCACCACAAACAGTGGTTCTCAACCTTGGCTGCACATTAGAATCACCTGGGAATCTTTTTAAAATCCTGATTTCTGGGCCTCATCCTCTGGAAATTCTGTTTCTTTGTTACTAATGTTGTGGCCTCATCCCATAACAAAGAAACAGAATTTCCGGAGGATGAGGCACAGAAATCAGGATTTTAAAAAGATTCCCAGGTGATTCTAATTGCAGCCAAGGTTGAGAACCACTGCACTATACCCTCACAGCCTGTCAGAGGAGGAAGATTATGATGTCCTCAATGAGGGCGGCGCAGAAGAATCCAGGGGGGAAATTAGCTGTTACCGTGTCAAAACCTGGGCCCCAGGTCTGCTCATTCTGATTTAAGTGGTTGAGTACAGGTGGAACTCAGTGTGTTTGAAAGCCCAGGGATGAGATTGAGATGCAGGGAGGGCAGAGAATCACTGGAGTAGGACGCTGGTCAGAAACAAAGTCCTTTGCTTCTCCGACTGCCACGTGGGGAGCTCAGTAAAATGCCGCTTCTGGCTGAGCAGTGGGTGAGGCCCAGGGACTGGGGTCCGGCATTCACGTGAGACAGGTGTGTCTGGTTAGTTGAGGATGACACATCTATGTCACATCTGCTGTTTTCCCTTCCCAGCCCAGTTACTCAGGAGCCACATTTTCTTGGGCATTGCCCTCACCCTGCCTCTGTCTCAGTGGGCGTGAGCACGCCTCCAAGAATGGGGTGAATAAAATGAACCTGCCCATGGCCTGTCACATAGTGGGCGTGCCACTGTCCTTTCTCGAAAAAGAAGCGTTCAACTCAAATCTTGATTCCAGGCCCATCCTGGCCCCATTGCCCGTTCTTCCCGGCTCTGCACCGGAGCCCTCACTCTCCATTTCTTCTGTAAGATGGCTTTTGCCACGTTACAGATTTTTCAACTTGACCTGGATGGGAGGTGGGATTTTCCAGGATGGTGCAGGCCGCGCCAAGGGCAGGCCCCCTCCCCCCCCCCACCCCCCACCCGCCCCTGTTTGTGAAGGTGAGTACTGGGCTTCGGAACCCGCCCGAGGGCTCACTGAGGACTTGCTTTCAGGAGCCGCTGTCCCCGGGAGTTGCCGCCTGTCCTGGGTAGGCATTCTAAGCGCTTATTTTTCTTTCGCTGACAGGCAAGAAAAATTCAATTCTTCTGCAAAAGTTCCAGAAGGATCTTAACACTGGTGTTTTCAACAACCAGGAGAACGAGATCCTGAAGCAGATCGTGAAACACGACCGGGAGATGGTGCAGGCCATCGCTCCGATCAGTTACCCGCAGATGCCGGCCCCGAACGCCGCCTCCACGGCCACGGCCACGCCCACCTCCCGCGTGAGGACCCAGTCGCCGCCCGTGTACCCCGCCACCGGCCTGTCCCCTAGCAACCTGCACTCCCCCAGCCCCAGCACGCAGACCCCCCAGCCCTCGGCCATCCTCTCGCCCTGCTCCTACACCACGGCCGTCTGCAGCCCGCCCGTCCAGAGCCCGCTGGCCGCCCGAACTTTCCACTACGCCTCCCCGACGGCGTCGCAGCTGTCCCTGGTGCACCCGCCGCCGCCGGCCCCGCAGCCCCCGCCGCCACCCCCGCAGCAGCCCCCGCAGCCACAGACGCCCAGCGGCAGCTCCACGCCCAAGACCGACGTGCACAAGAGCACGCAGGCCCTGCACAACGCCAGCCTGAGCCGGGAGGTCAGGCCCCTCTCGGCCTCGCAGCCCTCGCTGCCCCACGAGGTGTCCACCCCGATTTCCAGACCGCACCCCACGGTGGGCGAGTCCCTGGCCTCCATCCCTCAGCCCGTGCCAGCCGTCCACGGCGGGAGCCTGCAGGCGGGGGGCAGGGGCACTGTCCCCCAGAGGGTGACCCTGTTCCGACAGATGTCCTCGGGAGCCATTCCCCCCACCCGAGGAGTCCCTCCTGCACCTCCTCCGCCGGCGGCCCCCCTTCAGAAAGAGCCTTCCTCAGTCTTAAAAACAGACCCAGAGGTGGAAAAGCCACGATTTTCTTCAAATTTATGATCCCTGCCGATTGTCATACAGACTCGAATGAACCGAGAACATTCTCAGATCTTATTTTATTCTATCTCCTGACACATCCCTATAGCCTATTATGAAGAGATATTTTAGACAGCTCTGGCCTACACGCAAAATGTAAAATATATATATATATAAATATATATACATATACTATTAAATATATATCTAAAATCCAAGAGACATTCAAAGACTTGTTTAGCATTCAGTGTTATATATGTCTTCCTTGCTTTAAATCATTAAAAAAGATTTAAAATGTTGTTGTAAGATTATTTATTTTTAACCTGCTTTTCCTAAATTCCTTTGATATATGTATTTCTCTATTTTAGGAAGAGTTCTTGGATTCGATGCAAACAAAACCCTGATTTTAAAAGGCAGCTCAAGTGAGCTACTGAATGGCACCAATCAACACCTCCTTCATTAGCTGTGTCTCTGCATCTAAATGGTTAATCATTCGTTATGGAGGGTGAAATAGCAAATTCCGTTTTATAGATCCAAATTGTCATTTGGTGCTTTCCATTCTGACCTAGGTTAAAGAACAGTTGTATATGCTTGGCCACAGTAGGAGAGTAGCAGCCAGTGTTAGGAATATCTCTAACCTCAAACATGTTCATTGTTCATTCAGGTAGCGAGGGGATATTTCTCTTCCTGTGTTATTGGACATTTCCCAGACTCAATCAATGTTAGTTGTAAATAATCTTTTCAACCCAAATAAAAAATAGCTATTCTGTGCTGAATGAAGGTCAAAGTCATCACTTAAGAATTTAGTTTTATTGTTTCACTTCAAAATCTAGAGTTTTAAATTTTACAAAACCTAATTGTGACAATTATTCAACTGTAATGCAATGGCTTGAAACCTACAATGTTATTTTAACCTGCAATGTTTTATGCAAAATTGTATGCTCGATTCTACAAATTGCTTGTATTACACCAAGAGCCATCACTTTTCTTCCTTCTTGCCATAATCAAGCATTGGAAAATATCCCTGCATGCTTTTTTTGTGGGGGGGATAGGTTGAAAGCAGTCATTGTAGGGAAAGGCTTACAGCATTTCTCATTTCTAGAAATATATGCCAATTTTATTAATTGCCTATCTTAAAATTCCTGTAAGTTTGACTCGGATGGAACTCTATCTTAAGACTAGAAGTGAGGTTTTTACTTTCTTTTAATATGAGTACTATTATTGTTATTATTTAAATAATGACTTGTAAATCACAGCTTGATTTGGAGTTGCCCGTGTGTTCTGTCTTCACTGTAGTTGGCAGTTTACGGTGGTGTTGATTTAAAGAAATAAATGCTCATAGCAGCATCATGTCTGTTGGGAACACACGCTTCGCTCTATATATATTGTAACTGAGTGGTTAGGAAATCTTAAGGCATATGGTGTTAACATGGGCCTTGGAGAGGAGGTGTGTTGTTTTAAAAGTGCTGAGAAAAGTCTAGACCTGGTGACGGGAAGCAGGGTGGAACTGAATGTGAGCATTGTTTGTGAATTTGTCTGTTTCCTTAACTCTTTCAATGATCCGGGAGCATCTTCTCCCTCTGCAGGGAGTCCCGTAGTAATGATTTGTGCCTAATGCATCCCAGGAACGTGGCCGGTGACTGGAACACAATCGGAGAATCCCTAATTACCAACTTCTGTAAATAACCCAACGTGAGAGAATGGCCTAGAGTGGAGGTCTTCAGTATCTTTGACGCTGGTGACACATTGAAGAACTTAACCAAGATCCCACCTTAAATGGGGAGGGCCCCCAGACAGACTTGAAGACAGAAAACAAAACAAAAGAAAAACTCTAAAATGGATCCATGCTGCCTGTCATGCCTTTTGTGGGAAAAAACATCTATAATACCAAAATGAGTCATTGTGTTTAATTTCGGAGAGATCGCAGCTCATGTGGATCAACAATGCTAGCCAATGTAATGTTATCGGTACCACGCTGGTCACAGGAAGGCGTGTCGGGAATGGTGTAAGAATGGGGTTATTCAGTCTACCTAGATCCTATGGGAAAACTGTAAGACCATTTACATATCAGTACAAAACTCCTTTATTTTATTAAAAGATGGAGAGTTAATGTCAATTTATTAAGATCATGTATTGATCCTTTAAATTATTAAAGGTTTACATTTGATAGGACAAATGGGTTTGGTAGTGAAATATTTTTATACAATAGATACATTTTGGGCTTTTTATTTCCAGGACTATTGGGAAACGTGAGCAGGGTTGAATTTCATGGTCTTTTAGTGCAACCAAAACAATTTTTACTCTCTTTGTAACAGAATGGACAAAAAGCTAAGGTTTGTATGTTAAACTAACAGTGGTGCAGGGTGAATTATTTACATCTATGTATGAATCTATATACTTAGGTGAAGGAAAAAAATGACTCACATTCCTGTAACATAAAAGCCAATTGCTAGTTGACAAGTGACCTCTTTTCTCTGTACCTAGGTAAGCCCATGCGTATGGAGTTTTAATCTGTACAGAAAGAAATGTATTATTGAAAAGACTGGTCTTTCTGCTGCTGGGGAAATAGTAGACGAGCTGATTCTTCCAACAACTGTATGATCAGGGACGCGGTAGAGTATTTCTTTTGTCTTTGCTCAAAGCCATACAAATATAAATATATAAAGGTTATTAATAAATTCAACAAAATCAACTAAAATCATGAATATTTTATTTTATCAACATAACCCAACCTTTTGTTTTATTCCTGAGTACAGATTTGACTCTCCCTTTCTATCTTTACATCTTCAGGTTTCCAAGAGGGCTTATACATGATAATCACCAAATTAATTATAGATATTCTGTAGGGGTAGAAAGGAATTGAAACAGAACATAAGCTCTCAGCTAGTTCTCTATTTCACCTCTTCTGTAGAGTATACATTGGGTTTTGTCTTTTAAATTCTCTTCTCTGTCATTCCTTAGCATATGGTTGTCCAACTTCAATACACAGACATTTCTCTGGTATTATTGGATATGGAGATTAGAGACACTTAGAAATAAAGCCTGTAATTTATATATGCAAACCTATTTTATGGTAGTCTTGAACCTCATAAAGGCTTTGCATAAAGATAGAACCTCCCTACACTTGTGGATTTGGAATGAGATCTAAAAGCTCAAGATAGAGTTTATTACAGTGAGTGATGGTGTCCTGAAAACTGTAAGATAAACGGCAGGGCAGGAGTATTCATCAAAGAAATAGCCTGTCCCCAGGCCTCGGTGACCACTCTGTAGGTGAGTGATTCCCTCATGGATGCTTGCTTGTTTGTAAATGGCTATGTTGCCATTTAGGGACTGAAATGAGCATAACCTCTGCAGGACACTGCACAGCACCCCCAGGCTGCTACGGTAACTCCCAAAGGTCTTGGGTGATTTAGATAATGTGATGTGTTTTGAATTTTAGACCTGTGATTTCAAAGCCTGAATTATTTACACTTCCAAGTACCAACATCTCTATTACCTTTCAGACTTACCTGTAAAGTCTCCATGTCTTCCTTTTCAACTGAAGTATTGATAGCTGTTAATTGCACTATGCTGCTTTGTTTCTGTGGCCCTCGCTTTCATCATTTATGACATTAAGCTGTTTGAGCAAGATTGCTCTCCCTTGGACCTCTATCCTCTAGAACACGTGCCATGAAACACACACGTGGTCCTTTTGTTCTCGTGCACTCCAGCTAGCAAAGATTCTACACATGCTCTGCCTATTTGAAAGATTACTTATGCCCTTAAATACAAAAGAAATGTGGCCCTTAAAGAAAATTCGGACGCTGTGCATCAATAGCTATTCTGAGTCCTGAAAGAAATGGTAAAACTGGAAGCGAGACCGGCTGCATGCAATGACTCACCAGCTCAGTTCTATAATTTTATTCAATGTGTCCCTTTTCCAGGAAAATAGGAAGGAGCAAGGACGACTTACTGTCGTGTTCAGGGTCAAGTGTACCTGCTACCGGCACTTGAAGGCAGTGACTTTCATAAGCAATTTTGATTCTTTTAAAAAATGGCATCTACCTTTCATACACTGGACATCCATGAAGCCCTCAGGAAGAGAGCCACTGCTTTGAAAAGAGAACTAGAGAAAATACCAATCCCCTGCCGAAATCCTTAGGAGCAAACCTGCCGGGGGACCCACATTCCTCCCCGCCATTTTGGAGTTTTCGACTGAAGGCCACGCTCCTTCCTTCTCCGGGAGCAGTGGACATTTCCATTAGCCTTTGTCATTTTGTTCTCCATCATTTCATTTAGAGCTCTAGGGTTGGAAAAGCATGAGCTTCTCTAGCTGGGGAAGAATTAATGACATATTCACAAATTTATTGCAGGAAAAAGAAATCTATATTATAAAAAGCCTGTGGCCCTCACCCCGTGACGCCGTAACTACCAAACAAGGCGGGCGGGGTCTAGGGTCCCACTCCCGGGGCGGCACAGCGGGTCTGGGGTCCTGCTCCCACAGCGGCACGGGGCGTGCGGGTGGGCGGGGCTGTGCGATTTTGCAGGCTGGGCTTCTAGTTTTTATTATAATTGTTTAGAAGAGAGCATTCATGATTTTTGTAATGCTTTTCAAAGCAATAGGACTACATTCTCAGTCCTATTAAAAAGATGCAATTCCGAGTTTCTCAAAGTAGGATATTCTGGTATCTGACATGATAAGTATTTCATTTGAGAAATATCAAATAGTATTTAATAATTAATAGGTTTGAATACATTATATAGAATACAGTCTCCATAGATCTTCATACCAAGAATCAGATACATATGGAATATATTGGCTTGTAAACAAACACAGAAAGATTCAAGTGATCATTCTCCTCACAGAAATTGTCTTACAATGTGAAACACAGATCCCAAAGACACTTGCATGAATCAAAATCTGTTTGATCACCCAACTCAGAGCAGCCTATAGGACCTGTAGCAAGTTGAACTGAATATTCTCAACTGTGGTTTATCTCTACCTTGTAAGAGCAAATCCTATTTGAGAGTTAACCAAAACTCATTGGAAGCTCTATTTTCTTAATACAATAAATAATCTAGTCCGGCATCACTGTTTGCAATCACAAACCAAATGTGGGTATTTTTATGTGTGGCCCATTATTGTAGACATGTTCTGAGAGCCTTTAGATGTAGACAGCTTCCCAACAACTCAAACTCTAAACATTCTAAAGATCTTCAATATTTACCTATAAAGATCTAATAACTACCTGGCCAGTGTTGCTCAGTGGTTAAATATCCACCCATGAACCAGGAGGTCAGGGTTCCATTTCTGGCCAGGGCACATACCCAGCTTGCAGGCTCGATCCCCTGTGTGGGGCATGCAGGAGGCAGCAGATCAATGATTCTCTCTCATCATTGATGTTTCTATCTCTCCCACTCTCCCTTCCTCTCTGAAATCAATAAAAACATATTTTTAAAAATGTAAAGAAAAATCCAATAACTTTAATAGTTTTATATCTGTTTTTTACACTCACAGAAGAACAATGATCAAATGCATTGAGTCGGGCTTCCTTTGTAGAGTTCTTTTCAAAGGGATGATTATTTACAACACATTCTGTATTTCTATGAAGAAATGATACTGATAGCCAATCTGAAGTAACCCCTGCCCTTATCCCAGCACAACATATTTCTCAAAGTGCATGTTTCCGTGATGGCAAAAAAATAGCAAGGTTTGGTGCAAGAAAAATTGTGACATTTCTAAAGGTGTTTTATCCCCCCAAAGTATGAAATATTTGACAGGCTGAGGCTATATAAGGAAACCATGAAAAGTGGCTGTACTTATTTATTTTACATGAAAACCAGCAAAATTAGGGCAATTAGCCAGCATCCCAAGAAAGTCACTTCACATTTCAGTTCTTAATGATCTAGTCTCATCTTTTGTACATAAACACAATTCCACACTTCTACCTCCGCACCTGACCAGGAATTGTTTCAGCATCCACAGGGCTACAGCCTGGTCCTCACAGGGAAGCCACCTTTGCTGACAACATACATTGAAAAAACAATTCAAGAGCAGTGCATGTAGAGAGGGAAGGTGACATTGAAGGAGATCAAACACATATCTGAGAGGGCTTTCAATATTCACTTTGATGGTGGAGATGCCACAGTATTAATTCTAAAGAACAAAGGGGAATCTGACATTGAAACACTTATGAAGATTTACTTCTAGAAAATAATGGGTATAGAATTTAGTTTATTGTGGAGGGGCTGATGTTTGTCATGACTTTGTACCCCCTTCTCCTTACTTTCCTTCAGGTATATTTTCATAGATTCCTCAGTCTCTTTAAAGGTGTTTCTCATGGACATTTTTTTTTACCAATGTACTTAATAATCTCTTTGCTATGACAAATCCTGTTGAGTAAGCCTGTGCTTTTGTTTATAATGGAGCTAAAAATGTGTGCCTTAAGCAAAGATCTGCATTTCCAATGAAGCCATAAAATCTCCCTTAATTGCAACTTACAAAGTGAGTTGGAATTAGTTTACAATGTCTGTGGGAATGGGAAGTTAAAGGGAGAAGCCTTAGGTTATAAAAACTCAGTTTCAACAGATTAGAAATATAGGCAATCTTGGGAAAGAGGGAAGGTTTCGAAAAACACCCAGAGACATTTTTAGACCTTCATTTTTAGAGCTAATCTTACTTTTCTGACCTGGGAGATATCAACAATAGCACCAATATTAAAGCTGGGCCCTTTGCTTCAAAAAGAATGTGACCAATTTGGAGAGGGAGGGTGTGGATTGTATTAAGATTGTGAAAAGACCAGAAAACGGGGCCTATTCAGAAATAAGGAAGAAGCCAAGGCAGCTTTTCAAACTAGAGAGAAGCAAACCTTCTAACAAAGGATGGCTCAGCAGGAGCAGAGTCTGGTGCTCAGGACAGGAGTGGGGCGGGCCTCTGCTACTCCAGAGCACCCTCAGCACGGAACAGCATCAATGTTTTTCAGAACTTAGACAGCGGAACCCAACTGATACCAAGTACACTCATACTAGCAAAGCTATATGTCTGCCTGTGTACTTACAGTAGCAGAATTCTTTATGTAAAGAGCTCCAACCAGCAGCTAACAATCCCTCAGACTGTGGGAAATGAGAATTTTTTAAAATCTGATATTGTGTACTAGTATTTATACATTATTATTTTTATTTTACTATAAATACCTTTTGTTAGATCTCATTCATATTACACAAAAGACATTCTAGGTATTCATTTATATTTAAAAGTGTTATGCTATCAGGCCCTGCCTGGCTGGGTGGTTCTGTTGGTCAGGGCACATACAGGAAGCAACCAAAGAATTCATAAATAAATGGAACAAGAAATTATTGTCTCTCTCTCTCTCTCTCTCTCTCTCTCTCTCTCTCTCTCCCTCTCCCTTTCTCTCTCCCTTCTTCTCTCTCTCTCTCTCTCTCTCTCTCTCTCTCTCTCTCTCTCTCTCTCTCTTTCTTCCACTCTCTCTCTCTCTCTCTCAAAATTGTTCCTCATGTTGTGACCCAACTCTCTCTCTCTCTCTCTCTCTCTCTCTCTCTCTCTCTCTCTCTCTCTCTTTCTTGCAAATAAATAAATAAAAACTTAAGAAAAATGTTATCTTATCAATGACTATCATTTCAGGAGAGTAAAAGGGGCTAGTATAAGATA